TATTAGCCAGAGGTACGAATAGTTTTCGACACGAGATCGCTGCAGAAAGTGCAGCCTTACCTAATGTCCACCTACTGTTACTCATTTATATTAAGATTTAAACATCTGGCTGGTGTTGGTGTGGAGAGTAACCTTCAGTAATAGCAATAAATCACATTCATGTAGTTGTAAAAAGCATAATAATATAATAGGTAATCCAAAGTATTCAGAATATACGTGTAATCGGTAATCTGTAGTGGAATACATTTTAAAAGTAACCTTCCCAACACTGCATATTAATGATCATAAACTGAGTCACAGCCCATTGTTCCTTCAGTGGGCTGGTTTCAGTCATTATGCAAATGTACTGTTGATAAGGTTGGTTAAACCTGCAGTCAGCTGAGACTGAAGACATCACCTGGATGATTGACGCAACGTTTCTCCCACTGAAAACATCCAGATGAACAGAATCAACCTTTGGGATTAACTTGGATGACTGAGCACGCATCAAGACACTTCCAGCCTTGTGCTACCACTGTGTTGTCACAAGTGACAGATACTATGACGTGAGCAGCTGATGTCGCATGTTCACCGCTGAGTTTTTCACCAATGTATTGAGAGACATTTAGCAGAAATGTGACTAGTTTGTAATGATGCAGAATAAAAACATGCTTACACTTTTTCAGACCAGGTTTCAGCCTTTGCGCTCCACTATGCTCCAGGCTGAAGGAAGAAATAAAGCCAGAATGAGCCTTCAGAAGCTTTCTCATTATCGAGGATCTTGTTGCGAGAGAGCATGTGAGTTCAACAGTAGAGTCCATACCTGAGACTGTCCAGTCTCCACTGTGGATCCTTTAGTCCGGCAGTCAGTAGCTTCACCCCTAGGTCTCCTGGATGGTTGTAGCTCAGGTCCAGCTCTCTCAAGCGTGAGGGGTTGGATTTCAGAGCTGAGGCCAAACAGATACAGCCTTCCTCTGAGATCTGACAGCCTGACAGCCTTGACACAACCGCAAATAAAGAATGACATATTATTGAAGTTATATATATTGCTCTTCTCGCAATCGTTCGTCTACTGAACGTCGTAGCCGATTCAAAAGAACGAGGCAAAACACTTTCCCGGGTACCGACAGCAACGTGATGCCCTGCCAGTTGTTACAGTCACCCAAATCACCCAAAGGCTTTTGACAGCGCCACCGGCCGACTCTATGGTAAATGGCCTGTATTTGTATAGCGCTTTTCTAGTCCCTAAGGACCCCAAACCAGTCATCCAC